AAGAAGAAGAAGAAGGTCTTTCAGCATATCGAGACTGCCATAACCCCACAAGTAGAAGTCTGTGGGATTCTTTGTAAGTGCACGACCCTGTGTACACACATTTGTGTGGGTGTGCACATCATTCTATGCATATATCCAGATGTGTGTGAGTGATATTACATCTCTCTGCTGTTTTCCTTGTTCAAATAGAAATGCTTCAGGTCCAGAGCTTCTCTTTCTCTATCTCCTGACAACCTCACAGTACCTACTCCCATGATCTAAGTAAGCACTGGCTGCCTCTAGTGTTTACATCTGTCAAAAAGAGGAGGACTGCTGAGGAGGGTAGGATGGGTCAGGCCCTTCCTCACTTGGTCTCTCTGTCCCTGCATCTGTCTCTTCCACAGCTTTGCCCCTAAGGGCTGCACATCCTTCAGCATCAATGCCTCCTCAGAAGTGGTCGTGAATGTTGCCCACATCCCTCCAGTCAAGAAAAATCCCACAGGTTCTTCCAAATGGCCCCTGGATCCTAGGCTGGAGGTGACCGTGAAGGTGAAAGCTTCTAGCAGTAGCATAAGTGACCAGAAGGTGAGTGTGGCCGCTGTCGGGTGGGATGTGTGGGAAGAGGTCAGCAGGGAAGGAGTTATTCACAATCTGTCCTGCTTTGATCCACAGCCCTAGCACTGGCAGAGCCTCTTTCCCTCTGGAAAAGCTCACTATGGCTTGTTCCAGCCATAGCATCCTCATAGGCAATAAATAAGGATACCAAGGGGTTAGGATATCAGAGCTTATATTAAATTCATTTATTAAGCAAATGTTTAGTGAGTACTTACTGCATGCCAGATACTGCTGGGCACTGACATATAGAAATAAACAAGACAGATGAAGTTGCAGCCTTCATGGAGCTTACAACCCATTAGTGAGGGCATCAGATAATATACAGGTAAATAAGCAAGAATTGCAATGGTGGTGAGTAATATGAAGGCCATAGGCAAAGAGCCCCAGGAAACTCTGGCCCATGTCTCCTGTATTCGTTTTCTATGGTTGCTCTAATAAGTTACCACACACTGTTGGCTTAAAACAACAAAAATATATTCTCTCACAGTTGGAGAGACCTGAAGTCCAAAATCAAGATGTTAGCAGGACCACACTCCCTTCTGGAGGCTGTAGGGGACACTCAGCTTCTGTTGGTGTTGATGTTCCTTGACTTATGACTGCACTGCTCTCATCTCTGCCTTCATCATCACATTGCTCCTTCTCTTCTCTGTGTTATCTCCCTCTGCCTCACTCTTATAAGGA